GTACCGACCGTAAGAGATCGCGCACCCCACGTAGAAGCATTTCTCGTAAGCGATCTGTTTCTAGACCACGAGAGACAGATAACCCCGACTGGTGCTAGTATCATAACCAGTATGGAAAGTTTTCCAGAAATTGCAGAAAACCCTGCAATTTTCCCAACAAGAAACCGAGTGACTCGAAAAGCAACTCGGGAAACTTCCAAGCCGGCACGCGTTAACGGCAACCGTAGCCGGCGAACATAGCCGTCTGTTATTCGTCACGGATGTGACAACGAGAGTTCGCTACCTCGTCGACACTGGCGCAGAAGTTAGCGTTCTCCCAGCAAATCCTAATGACCGACTTCGCGAATCGACTCTAAACTTACAGGCGGCAAACGGAAAACCGATCGCTACGTATGGCAAAAGGTACGTTTACCTTAACGTGGGTTTACGCAAACCCATTCACTGGATCTTCGTTGTTGCAGATGTTTCTATGCCAATCATTGGTATGGATCTTCTACAACATCACAATCTGATCATCGATACGCGCAAACGGAGGCTAGTAGACGGAAACACTAATTTATCCGTTTGTGTAACTTCCTTTACTGGTTGCAAATTATCCCCAGTCACAATTAAACATATGATAGACCCACTCTATCAACCACTACTCGATAAGTACCCTGGGATACAACAAACTCAACCGAGATTACCGTGTGTAACCAGCAACGTTACACATCCCATCACGACTACAGGACCACCTGTATTTTCTAAAGCACGACGACTAGCTCCCGAAAAGCTAAGATTAGCGAAAAACGAATTCGACCATATGATAGACTTAGGAAGCATACGACCGTCAAGTAGCCCATATGCATCTCCGTTGCACATGGTCCCTAAAAAGGATAGCAACGATTGGCGTCCAACTGGTGACTATCGGCGATTGAACGCGAAAACCATTCCCGATCGTTACCCGTTGCCTCACATTCACGATTTGACAGCTACCTTGAAAGATACAACTGTCTTTTCGAAAATCGATTTGGTTAAAGCGTATAACCAAATCCCTATGGCTACTGACGACATACCGAAAACAGCTATCATAACTCCCTTCGGACTCTATGAATTTTTGCGAATGCCTTTCGGTCTAAGAAATGCTGCTCAAACATTCCAAAGATTCATAGACGACGTTTTTCGAGGTCTCAACTTCGTACATGCGTATGTTGATGACTGCCTAATCGCAAGTCCGGACAGAGAAACACATCTCATGCATCTGGATCTTGTTTTCGAACGATTACAAAAACATGGCATTACTGTAAACGTTCAGAAATGCCAAATTGGAACCGACTCTTTAGACTTTCTGGGACACACTATCGATGCTCAAGGTATCCGACCCCTTAGAACCAAAGTGGCGGCCATTCTGGATTACTCAGAACCGACCACCGTCAAGCAATTACGCACGTTTAACGGCCTCGTAAGTTTCTATAGACGTTTCATACCGAAATGCGCATTACTTATGAAACCTCTTACCGACCAACTTCGTGGAAATGTGAAATCCATCAATTTGGACGACACCGCACGAAAAGCATTCTCCACAGTTAAGGAACTGATCGCCAAAGCAACAATGCTCGCACATCAGGACACCGAAGCACCCATTCGTATCGCAGTAGACGCATGGGACTCGGCAATCGGGGTAGTCTTACAACAATGGGTTAACAACTCCTGGCAACCCTTGGCATTTTTCTCTAGAAGGTTGCTAGACACCGAATCGAGGTACAGCACATTCGGTAGGGAACTCCTAGCTATGTATTGTGCTGTACGGCATTTCCAACACTACATCGAAGGTCGTGAATTCACTCTTTTCACGGACCATAAACCGCTCACTTTCTCGTTAAGCTCTCCTTCTGACAAGTACTCTCCCCGTGAGTCTCGACAACTGGACTACATTTCGCAGTTTACTTCAGATATTCAACACATCTCTGGAGCAAACAATGTAGTTGCAGACGCCTTATCTCGCATAACTTCCTTGAACAGTTTCCAAGGAATCGACCTTCCTAAACTCGCCGAGCTTCAAAAAGAAGACACTGATCTTTAGCACGAGTTATCGTCTACAACACTTAAACTACGCATCAAACAGATGGGAACAGGTAAGGAAACCTTACTTTGTGACACATCTACAGGTAGGGATCGCCCAATCGTGCCGAAACATTATCGACGCAATGTCTTCAATACATTGCACAAACTTTCTCATCCAGGCGTCCGTGCAACCATCAAGCTTATAGCAGAAAGGTTTTGCTGGCCTGGAATGAATAAAGACGTGAGGGAGTGGGCACGCTCCTGTGTAAGCTGCCAAAAATCTAAGGTTATCAGACACAATAAATGTCCTTTAGGCTCATTTAAAACTCCCGATGCTTGTTTCGACCATGTTCATCTGGATTTGGTAGGACCTTTACCAGATTCAAATGGATACTCTTACCTCTTAACCTGCGTAGATCGTTTCACTCGATGGCCAGAAGCAGTACCTATTAAGGACATCACTGCTGAAACAGTGGCCCGCACCTTCGTCGAACGATGGGTAGCAAACTTCGGTTGCCCTTCAACCATCACTACAGACCGCGGACGTCAGTTTGAATCTGAACTTTTCCGTCGTCTGACCACACTTTTAGGAATCACTCGCTTCCGAACGACCGCCTACCATCCACAAGCAAACGGGTTGGTAGAACGCTTTCACCGACAACTAAAAGCTTCACTATCAGCTGCAAACGTTTCACAGTGGACCGACGCTCTTCCACTTGTCTTATTAGGTATTCGCAATGCAGTGAAAGCTGACATTGGATACACTGCGGCTCAACTCGTCTATGGAACGACACTTCGACTTCCAGGAGAATTCGTGGATCCTTCATCCTCTTCAATGAACATGGATCTAACCTCCTACACGAACAGGCTTAAAAACGCAATGCGTTCAGTTAAACCTGCTTCCACTCGACCTCAATCAACTGATGTTTTCGTCCAACCTGACTTACGACATAGTACACACGTTTTCGTTCGTCGAGACTCCCATCGACGACCATTCGAATCAGCATACGAAGGACCCTTCAAAGTTCTTCAACGTTAATCTAAGTACTATATAGTCGATAAGAACGGAACAAACGATAGCATCAGCATCGATCGCTTAAAAGCAGCGTATTTAGAAGGAAATCCTATTCACGTCGACTTTCCTTCGGTACAATCGCACAACACGACTCCTACACTCATAATTCCTCAACCGACAACCAACACTAGCGATGATTCTCCGAATGTATCTGAAAATATACCTAAATCGACACGTTCTGGAAGAAGAGTAAGATTTCCAGAACATTTAAACGACTACTGCACGTAAGGCACTACTCGACATTTTATATTATCTCGATTTTTCTTTTTACGATATATTATATTTGAAAAAAATTTTTCAATATGTCTATATATTTATTTTGTTATTTTTAGAAAAAAAACAAAAAAAAATATTTTTTTTAACGCTATAACGTGTACTTGAGTTTATTTTCCATTTTTTCGCCGACATTGTGTTTTTACGCACATACGAGTGTATTTCGACATGTACTTACATTTTCTTTTTTCTTTTCCAGGACGGCTGGAAAAGAACGATGCAGTTTACGAGGAGTCGAAAATTTCGTTGCAACTTTTGTTTTTATTATGTTGTACCTCAGTCCCATATAGTAAGGAAAGACGACCAGACGCTGCTACATTTAGTAAGCTATCAGAAGAGTGTTTACCAACGACAAACTCATTGGGTTTAAACTTCTGGCTGGCCACGTCTTAGGGTCGTCACTGCCCCACTAGGGGGGGAGTGATCTGTAGCGGTAAATAAATCCCCAAAATAAATACCACTGTAGGTTTTCGACATTGGATGCTGACCATATGTTTTAGTGGACTCATCTAGCTGAAGGCGCTCGGTCAGGCATCCGCACCAGATCACGTGTGGTAACGCCGTGCTCAACATCAACCGCAATCGCTAGCCAGATTAGATCAGAGAATTCCGATATATTGGTCATCGCCAAATATACTCTTCCGATCTCCTCGACTCTGTCTTTTGATTTCTCTGGACGGGAACGAAATATATTAGAAGGTGTTACTGGTAGAAGCGTTGTCAAACACTGAATACCTGTGACATCATCACTGAAAAAACCCAAAGTGGTTTGTTCAGAACACTTATGTACTTATAAGCTGTTTGTGAGTATTAATAATAATATCAGCAATAAACTTGAATGTAATAGCTGTATAATCACTTCAAACTATAGATGGAAGGTACTTCATTTAACCAACATCATTTCCATGAACGTAGACTAAGTGTCAGATAGAAGAGTTCTGTAGGTCATAACTGGTATTTTCTTTAATGTGCTGGATTAAAGCTAGTGGCTCTGTCTTCAGGAGGCCTCAGTTTAGGTATACAGTGAATTCACTTACCAGCCTCTAGTTTATTTAGAACGAAAACATCAGTTACTAATTCAGGACTACGCCACACTACAACTAGTTCTGTCTCTTAAGATTTCAATTTCAACTGGCATCGCAACAGATCGCGTAGCACTAAGCCATGTCCCAGTGTCTCTACAGCCCGAACCGTTGGGCGTTAGTCAAACATAATATGACACCAATACGTCGTAGTATCATTTGCTGAAGATTTCATCCTCAAGCAGAAGAAAATATGTCGGTCTGCCATAACAATGTTTTAACCGAGCCATTTAGCTTGTTAGGTGAACAAAGACGGCAAAATGTGTCATCTAAGCCAAAAATAAGAATCTTAATGCTAAAAAAGTAAGCATTATCGCCAAGATTTGACCTGATATTTGCAAACAAATTTTTCAGCTAGACAACTTTTGAATGATTAAAATGATGGTGCATTTATAATGTCGCAGTGGGTAATAAGTAAAGTTCCCCACGTTTTATAACTTAGTTTAAGTTGCTTCTTCATAACAAGTAGGCAAATTTGCTCGTCACTGTGGTATTGGACATTAAATTTCACAATTTTGAAAAACACTCTAGCTGGGGGAATTTCGATCGTAAGTTTAGGATGCTTCAGTGAAGCGATGCATATCGAGAGTGAGTGATACTGGTTAAGCCTATAGGCTTAGAAGCCAAGTATACCGGGCTTCTGCTCATGCACTTTTTAACTATGTTCCTTGTTGCAGGGCCACTTTAGTTGTTCGAATACCTATTAATCACATTGAATCAAAAACTAAAAAAATCCGCCAAAAATTAGTTGTGACTGTCCTAAAGTACGGATCCGAACGAACGATGATCAAAAAGTTATGGCGCAAACATAAAAGTAGGGCTAGGAATCGGTGTTAGAGGCTGATGTTAAGTTTCAATGTGTTCATCACACTGGGATCCTGGTCATACCCTTACCCTAACTCCTAGCATAATAATACATTCAGTTATCCCTTCCGTATATTGCTTAGCTAACGCAGTCTACGCTTCTAGGTCACTCGGCCGTGTACTTTAGACTTGTCTTACTTTGGAGTTTGACCCTAGCAGTTGTCATTACCTATATGAATTTATTTTGCATGACATTCAACTAGTTCATAATAAAATGATGTTGGATCTCTCAGGTTGTTGCTCTAAGGTGTCGCAACTCAATCGCTTTCCAAAAGTTTCCACGATTTATCAAGACACTTAGTTGAAATGTACTATTTTTTTTAACAAGGTCCTTAGGTTCCACTTTTTGAGTCTTCATGACGTGTGTGGTTGTGGCAGACAGTGGGAATTGCAGTGTTTCACTAGTCGTTACTCATACCAATGTTACTAAGTATTCCGGCACTCCCGTTATTCTGGAAATTGTGAAAATAATTACTATGACTTATCATAAATCTATGGCTTGATTAGACCAAGTGTGGAAACAAAAGTTATAATAAAGTTTGTGGAAGAGGTGGATAGATGGAAAGTTAGTTAAGTATTTCTCTAAATTCCCCCATTATGTGTGATAAGTGTTGCAAACCTCAAGAATTCAGTCAGTAGTCAGTTACTTAAACCGCTGTAGCTCCTGCTATTTACAAGGCGCGAATTCAAGGCTTTTCGAAAATAAGATAATGGGACATAGTAATCAACTAAACAACTTGGTTTTTCTTACCATTCGGTCACTTGTGACCAAATTTAACAAAAATGAGCTCATTATTGTGTCGGCTGACATCTTTCGAGCCACAAAACAGCTCTTCATACCTGCGATTATCAGTTACTTTTGCATGTTTTGACGATCCAACCTACGGCATCGAAATTCGAGAGTTTGGACGATCTGTTTAAGGTAGTATAAGAGATGTACTAACTACAAACATCCTTAAAGCAAGCCGGAAAGTGTTGTTGGTGAAACTATCATATTTCACCATACTTTTCACACCGAAGTGTCATGACGAGAGGCAAGAGTTTTCAGCAAATATCGTAATCTTGTCGCGATGGATTTTTCTAAAATCCTTGTCGACTATAGGAACGTATCATTTTATAAGGTCCATTCATGTATCTAACCCGAAATCGTTAAGTTTACAGATGTGCTCCGCGAAACAATCCAGTTTTTTAAAGTAATCCATTGTCTATTAGTTATCCAAAATCGTCCATCTTACATAACGGGTGGTTTTGCTGTATGTTGTCAACTTGTTCCTGGTTTTTGATGTTATTTTTGTTATTTTTGCTAATCCAGTGAATATATTTTCCATTATTTTGGTTCCAAAGTATACTGTTTGAGGTGTGTAAAGACTTAGACAAATTTCTCCACCATCTCAAAGTTCTTACGTCTCTTTCAGTTTTGTCCCTTCTGCTTGCCTATCATGTTTATCTACATTAAAAAAATAAGGATGCATCCTATTTCATGATTTCTTTAACCAGCATTTGTTGTGTCTTCAGGTTGCTGGTTATGTCACAGTAATAGTTTGTCGGTACTATGATATCTGGAAAACTAAAGAACTTTCGCAAAACGATAGAAGACGTACGTGAAGGAAAGGAGCATGCATTAGAGGCCATCCGTAAAGACCTGACTTCGATTCCTTACATCCCAGAGCTTGGTAACTTATTTTTTGGGTTTGCTGATTGCTTTTCTTAGCAAAGTTGGATCATTTACGTTCCCTAACTCTGTCTCACAATAAAATAACGGGTGCGTTAGTTTGTCCCATTAATTACCATTTGCGGTTCAGAAATACCTCAAGAGATATCAACTCTGCAAACTTTAGAACACCTGAATCTCTTTAATAATTGTATTATGGTAGGCACCAACGTTTACTATTAATGTGCTTTTTTAAAGGATATCTCTCCAAAGATTGTGGAGTTAACATATTTACGGTCTTTAAATCTTGGGTAGGTACTATTTTGTGTCATTTTTCTTAAAATTACGAGGATGAATAAGCTGTCTGTCTTACCTCGCGGTTTCGGTGCTTTCCCTTCCCTCGAAATTCTCGACTTGACGTATAATAACTTAAAAGAAACTAGTTTACCTGATAATTTCTTCAACTTGGTAACACTTAGAGCTCTATACCTGTCAGACAATGATTTCGAACGCATTCCACCTGGCATTGGAAAGCTTTTGAATTTGGAAATAGTAAGGTGTAACATTTTAATTGAATCAACAAATTAGTTGGCTCTTCGTGACAATGACCTTGTGTCACTACCAGCAGAGATATGTTTACTTACCAGACTAAAGGAACTCCATCTTCAGAACAATCGCCTTGCTGTACTGCCTCCTGAATTAGGTAAGTCAGGTTTGTTAGTACTTTATTGTTACCGTCATTTACACTTGTTCACAAGACAAATACTCATGGCAGTTGTACGATAGTCAGTCAGTCAGTCAGCTACAACGTAGGACCAGGCACATATGCATCAGTCCAAGTTGCCATACCTCATTAACACAATTTACGATAGTTCACAGCATTGTTAAACTAACTGTTGATTATTTTTATTAAAAAAATCTTTTGATATATTAAGGCACTAGGGTATGGGGCTTAGACAATTATTAAGTCATCTGTCTGTTACTTATCTGATAAGTATACCGGAGATGCTTCCAAATTTCACTTCATGTATATGAAACACGGCTTGTGCTTAGCATTGTTTTTTCCCAAATATATTCCCTGTTTTATTGACCCACTACAGTTTTATTACAGGAGCTACCCATCTAAAGTTGTGAAATGATTTGAATGCTTCTTTATTTCTGCATTTTCGACTAATCTGAAGTTATTGGAAGGGTGTTTTTCCCATCACTTAATGTAGTTTCGTTTAGAAAGCCTTTAGTTGATTCTTAATTACAAATACAACGTAAATGTATTTAGGTGACCGATTCAAAGTATTATTTAGTGTTATTCCATGAGACAAGTTGAAACAAGCGACATGGTAGAGTAATCGAAGCGTTGGATAACATGGATCATCTTCACATTTAATTCGTCCAATTATGAAGTAGTAAATTCTTAGTGAAACTTTGTAACAGTGCTAGCTCGTGCACTAGGTCGCAAACCCGACCGTAGCTGCTACCCTGACGTGGTGGTCAGGCTTGCCTATCATAAAGAACCAATCGAGCTATACTGGCTGGAACAATCATTGCTCAAGGTCCTACCACGCCAGACAGGTCGGTTGAAGAGCAGTAAGACTAAGAGCACCAAACCAAAGGTCCGAGGGCGAAGTCGTACTGCTGACTATACATAGGTGTGAAGGCAGTTAGGTGTTTCCTTCAGATAGACAGCATAACAGCGATGCTGCCTTCCCACAAGGAAGAGTGGGGTTGTAAAAGGTCGGCCCTAAAAATGCACACCTTACCTTATCTCACGGATTTCAGTCTCCGGCGGTAAGGCCCTTTGAAGAATGCAGCAAACACGTTAAAAACTTTCCACAAAAAAGCCGTGCGCAACCGGTCTCAAGTAGTTGTCCCTTATTTATTTATTTATTTATTTGAACACATAAATATTGGTACAAGAGAGCGCCAATATATATGCGCCACACAAAACAATGGGAATTCGAAGAGAAGTAGAAAGAGAAAAGAAAAAAAAACTAAGGAACGCAAAAGAAAAAGAGAACAATGACGAAGAGATTGGAGTAAGGTAGTGTGGTAGTAACGACGGAACGAAAAGGTACAATCAGAAGAAATCTTTCAGGTAAAGGAGACACAACCACTTTTTATGAAGAAAGTAAAAGAAGGTTACAGCAGGATCGCCACTGGCTTCTATTCTGAGCCATATCTGATAACGTCTCTAGCCACTGTGTAGCACCATCTCTCGGACCTTAGCCAGGGAGTCGTGAAGGACCAACACAAGCCAGTCCTTTGCAGCTTTCTTTCATGCCACGACACCATGTCATGCACTGACCACCTCTCCGCTTCTTCCAACCAGTCCCAGAGTCGGCAAATAATGCACGACGTGGAATTCTCTGGGACGACATTCGGAGAACATGTCCAAGCCACCGAAGTCGGTGTTTCAAGATGGTGACACCAATTGAGTTATCATCTCTGTGCCCGAACACACGATGCCGAACCTCTGCATTACTGACATGGTGTTGCCACTGAATGTCAGCAATCCTTCGGAGACAGCGATGATCGAACACAGAGAGTCGTCTAACGTCCTCAACTCGGAGAGGCCAGGTTTCACAAGCATAGAGCAAAACTGCTCTCACCGACGCGTTGTAGATCCGGCCTTTTACAGCCAGACTAACATCACGAAGGCGCCAAAGGTGGCCCAGATTGGCATAAGCCGCTCTGGCTTTCACTATACGTGCATTGATCTCATCACTCACACCCCCACCAGCACTTATGTAGCTACCCAGATACACGAACTTCTCAACTACGTCTATCTGCTCACCGTCCAGGGTGAGTACAGGATTAGAATCCTGCCAGTCTTGTAGAAGTACTTTGCACTTCGAAGGTGCAAAGCACATACCATACCTACGGACACTGATTGCCAACTGATTAAGTGCGGATTGCATGCCTTGGGCATTATCGCACAGTAAGACAATATCGTCCGCATACTCAAGGTCGAGAAGTCTTTCTCCAGGCAACAGATCCACACCACCATTACTTACATCCATCAGAGCTGTTTCCAGAATGTCGATGGCAAAGTTGAAGAGGAATGGTGAGATTGGGCAACCCTGCCTAACCCCACTGCTCGAATGGAACAATGGAGAGAGGTGGTTGTATGCCCTCACTCTGCCTGAGGTGTTTTTATACAGGGCTTTTAGGGTGTTAATAAACTTCTCAGGCACACCCTTCTTCAATAGACAATCCCAGAGAACAGTCCTATCCAACGAATCGAAGGCAGCCCTGATGTCAAGAAACACTACGATTGTTGGCCTGTGATAAGTATGGCGGTGTTCTAACATTTGGCGGAGGGTGAAGATATGATCAATACATCCTCGACCAGAACGAAACCCAGCCTGCTCCTCGCGAGTCAATCTTTCTCGGGTTTTGAACAACCTACGAAGAATGACGGAAGCCAATAGCTTGGACGCAATCGGAAGTAAACTTATCCCCCGATAGTTGTTACAAGAACGACGTGAACCCTTTTGAAATATAGGGACAACTATCGACTCATTCCATGACGTTGGTACACTCTCTAGTTCCCAAACCTTTGTAAACAACGTCGTCAATTCCTTAGTCAAAAAGTCACCACCATCTTTAAAAAGAGCCGGAGGTAAGTCATCTGGGCCAGGTGATTTGTAACGCTTCAAGAGTTGGAGTTCCTTGCGGACTTCCTCCTCATTTGGTGGATCAGTCGTCACCGGCCATGGAGGGCAGGACAGTCTGACCGATGTTGCCGGAGCAGTAGGCCAGTTGAACTGCCCTTCGAAAAACTCTGCCCATCGTCCAAGACGTCGATGGATGTTAGTGATTGGCATCCCATCATCCTCGCAGATTGTTTCACTCACACCAGACTTCTTGCTGCCAGTGGCTCGGATGAGCTGGAAGAGCTTCCGGTAGTTACCAGATGCAGCTGCTGCTTCCAGCTCATTAGCACGCATCGACCACCAGGCTTCTCGGTCCTTACGCAAGCTTTGCCCAATTTCCTTACGTAACATCCTTCGTTTATGGTCAAACTCACGGTCACCCGGAGTAGACCCTTGGGCTCTGCGGCCACGCGTCAGGTCGTTAAGACCAACACTAATCTAACTTCCTTTTCAGGCTCCTCAAGAAATACCCTTCCACGGTGTGGGCAGCCGGGAAGTGACGTCAGCTGTCATACCCGTAACAGCACACGAGACCAAGTTGGTCACAACCAAATCCTTCCTACACCTAATAACTCTATAATCTCCACGACTAACCCTCCTCACGTTCCTTTGTCACCTCGCGCCGCTGATGCAAACGACTCGAGTACACGGAACGTTATTCCCGGCCTCCTGAAACTACGCTCTGAACTACATGTAGGAGCTTTTAATGTCCGAACACTGCCGAATAGGACAACAGGCTTCCTTAGCTAGCATCTTAGAATCTTGCCCCATCGATGTATGCTGCGTCTCCGAAACGCGCATACAGGATCCAAGTAGCGTCATTCATTTGATCTCACCATATCAAAATAAAGAACCATTTCGATTCACGCTTCGTATATCTGGAAGCCCTGATTTTGCTTCCCGTGGCCTCTCTGGTGTAGGTATAGCATTTATTCTTAGGGCAGAACTAGCTCTTTCAGACTGGATTCCAGTAGACAGTCTCTTGTGTGCTGTCCGACTAAACGGAACAGTAAGGCCTCGGAAAGATAGGAGCACTTTTCGTTGCCTTTTCGTCTTCTGTCTACTCTCCCACTGACTTTAGCTCAGATAAGATAAAAGATGAGTTTTAAAGAAAGCTTTCTGCACTCCTCCAAAAGTTAGACGCTCAGATGTAGTAGTAGTGGCTGGTGACTTAATGCTCAAGCAGGTAAACTAGGCGAAAAGGAAGGACACTTGGGTGGATCCTATAGTGTTGTGGCTCAAAGAACAAATAATGGCGACCGTCTGTTACAACTATGCTCAGATAACCGCCTGTTTCTAGAAAATACTGACTTTAAGCATAGGGAAAAACATCTTTTAACATGTCGACCTCCGAATTCGTCCCAACGTTAGACCTAACTAGATCACATTGTGTTATAAACTCTATTCTTACGGTTATGACCCAGCTATTCCTATCGCTTAGTATTCTCGGACACCGATTCACTCGACAAGTCCCCAAATCAGAACACGGTTGAACAGGAAGGAGATTATATTCCAAATAACAAGGTTAGATGGAAGTCAGAAGCACAATAGGGGAAAACGTCAGTATATTTAAGTTTTTTACCTGAGAAGATTCTAGAGTATTCTCCAACTATCGACTAGTGCTGATTGGATAAGAATTAGCCAATCAGCGTGCACCAAAGCAATCGTGCATTGAGCTTGCTTTAATCCAGTCTATGTTCCAATAACACATTGCTATCAGCCACCGATGGAGGGGCTCGATAGAAGACTGTCGCTCATTCTGGAGCACATGCTTAGATTCAGATCATGCTCTAATGCGAGTGCGTATTTGTCCACGTCTTATTGAACGTAGGAAAGACTGTAAGGAAACGTCTTAGGGTTCTACTTAATGACAGCCAAGCTACGAATATATTTCAGGAACAATTAGAAAGACAGTAAGGTAGCCATGTAAGTGATGCCCACCGCGAGGCAGCTAGGAATGATATCCGAAAAACTGTGAAAACAGCAGTGATATCTGCTAGTAAGGTAAACCACAAGGTTAGGGAGAAATACTGGATCTCAGCAGCATATA